CAGATTTATTGCGCCATTGCTCCCATTACTAGATGGTGTGACTGAAGTTACAGATTAGATCCATCCGATAAACATAGCCGTTAACTGAATACAAGCCCAATTTTCAAAAATCGTCATCTGTGGGATTCGAACTCTAGACCTGCCACTTGGAAAGGATAATGACTAGACCACTACACTAAGTCACCACACCTTATGAAAGTCGTTTAATCTTATCTACTCCGATTTTTTTAAATAAATTATATATAACGTTCGCTCTCTGTATTTTTTTTTTTAAAGTGGATAGATTAATCCCAAAACAATGAGTTAAATTTCTTTATAAACTATTGACCTGGCCTTATTAATATTCATTCTATTATTATTTAATATTATTGTTACTTGCCTTTCATACTCTTTAGCATAATAGTACCAGCGCAATATTTCAGCTTGATTGGCTTGCCTAGCATGTTTACTTGCACGACTAGCCTTATTATATAATATAATCAAGTTTAACGTAGTATCTCATAAATTACCTGCCTCTTCTTCATTACTACTAACTATTAAATTTATTTCATTATCTTTACAAGGAGTCATTAATTCGTTCATAAGTTCTTCAAAAATTTTTTGATTTTTTTCTAACACCCTAGACGTAGCAAGTATTCTAAATACTGATGCCGTAGAAGAAGTTGGTGATGCAGATGAAGTTGGCGATGTGGCTGCTATTGATAATGATAAGATGGGTGCTGTATTCATAGTTAATCTTGGTGTAATGGTCAATCTAGTTGTGGTAGATCTCGCAGGTGTTGTGGTTGATCTCACAGGTGTTGTAGTTGATCTCGCAGGTGTTGTAGTTGATCTCGCAGGTGTTGTGGTTGATCTTACAGGTGTTGTGGTTAATCTAGTATGTCGTGCTATAGTAGATCTAGGTGCCGTAGAACTAGATATAGGGATAGGTATAATTGGCATAGAAGGTAAAAAATTTTGTGTATTTATTAAATTTTAAACTGATTGAATTGAATTCATAGAAGTAAAGCCTTCTGACTCATTTCAACAAAGAGGACAAAAAAGTCCCGAACTAGTAGTCCAATTACTAATACACTTTTTATGAAAAAAATATCAACATGATAAGATAGCAACAGATCGTTGAAGTGTTGAACTTATAAAATCTAAGCATATACAACATTTATCAATTTCATTTATATCAATAAATTTAGGAATTCTTTTAGGTGTATCGTGAAAAACAATTTTAAATAAAAATTTTTTTAAATTTTTTATTCTCGGGTAGGCATGAAGTATTATAGCGAAAGTCATGATACTTAAATGATTTTTTTCATGAAGACAATATTTAATTATGCCGATAAATAATAAAATTAATTAGAAGTATTATGACTTTCGTCACGATACTTAAATGAGGAGACAATGCTTAATTATGCTACTATAAGGTTTTTAATAGTTCAAATCCGATAAATACATAATAAGAGGCTAGACCCCCCTATAATAGTTAATTGGAAGTATTGTGGCGAAAGTTACGATACTTAAATGATTTTTTTCATAAAGACAATATTTAATTATGCCGATAAATATATAATAAAATTAATTAGAAGTATTATGATAAAAGTCATAATACTTAAATTTTTTTTTTTGTAGAGACAATGCTTAATTATGCTACTATCTCTTCAACTGTTTTCCAGGCAAATTTGCCTGGAATTTTGAAAAGTATTTACAATTTATTAAATAAAATTAAAA